TCCAGGGGATCTTTCCAAACCAGGGATAGAACCCAGGTCTTCCCCACTGCAGGCAGATTGTTCACCATCTGAGCTACCAGGGAAGCACAATTTTATAGTTATATTCCATTTAGTAATAATATAAAATATTGGCTATATCCCCCTTGTTGTACAATCTATTCTTACAATNAACCCAGGTCTTCCCCACTGCAGGCAGATTGTTCACCATCTGAGCTACCAGGGAAGCACAATTTTATAGTTATATTCCATTTAGTAATAATATAAAATATTGGCTATATCCCCCTTGTTGTACAATCTATTCTTACAATTTATTTTCTATGTAACAATTTGTACCTCTTAATCCCTACCCTTGTATTGCCCATCCCCTGTTCCTCTCCCCACTGGTAACCACTAGTTTGTTCACTGTATCTGTGAGACTACTTCTTTTTTGTTTTATTTACTAGTTTATTGTGTATTTTGGATTTTACATATGAGTGATACAATGCAGTGTCTATGTTTATCTGTTTGGCATTTCCCTAGAGGAGGAAAATGCAACTCACTTCAGTATTCTTGCCTGGAGAAGCCCTTGGATAGAAGAACGTGGGGGGCTACAGTTCATGGGGTCACAAAGAGTCAGACACGACAATCTTACTAAGCACACACACACATCTGACACTTCACTTAGCATAACACACTCCAAGGCTATCCATGCTGCTGAAAATAGCAAAATTTTGTCAACATATTAACACATACATATGCACAGCACATCATTTTTCTTTCCATTCATCTGTTGATGGACCCTTAGGTTGCTTCTACATCTTGGCAATTTTTAATAACTCTGCTACGAATAGTGGGGTGCCCATATTTTTTTGAATTAAAGTTTTTTGTTTTTTTTTTTTTTCTTTTTAGCTTTTACCCAGGAGTAGAATTTCTGGGTCATAGGATAGTTCTATTTTTAGTTTTTTTGAGAAATCACCCTACTGTTTTTCACAGTGGCTGCACCAGTTTACATTTTCAGAAATGGTTTTATTAATACTTTCATTTCTAATTGCTTCCAGATGCTCCCCTATTTCCAAAACTCTCCAACCACTCATAACTGAATTATTTTGAATTCTGATCTTTGTTGCTATTTCACATATTCTATGGCTCCTTAAATTTCTTTTAACTTATTTTGAAACATTTGGTTAGTTTCCACTTACTTGTGAGTATATCTTCCAGGCTTTTGTAGGTTGTATTCCCTGGGAATCACACTCAGAGAGACCATGGCATGTGGAATATGTATTAACAAATGCCTGGGATTAACAACGGGGGAATGAAGGGGGTGTATTGGGTGGGGAGAAAAGCCCAGCTGAAAGCATTCCCAGTGTTAGTCTCAGCTGGTCTGAAGGTGAGCTCTTCAGAGGTGTTCTGAGTTGGGCCAAGATGGCCAGGAGTTCACAAAACTGTGTCAATCATTGTTTGGATATGGCTGCTACAGAAAGGGTGGTGATTTGTATGAGGTGTCTATGTTGCTGCCAAAAAAACTTAGAGAAACAGACCGTGAAGTCTAACTGCCTAAAGTTGGGGCAACAAGTCCTTTCTTTGAAGTAGAATTTGCACTAGGCATCTTGGTTTCCACTACATAAGCACAGAGTAATTTTCTACAAGGATATTGTTATGCTTTTTTTTCCAATAATAATTTTATATGGAATCTGAGCATGCTCTTTTTCTGGGTTCATGCTTCAGTGAGACTGATTTTTAGGTACTTTTTAAAGGGGAGGCTGCTATAACATAGTATTGCTTGCCTTGTAGCAGTAGGGCTCCCTCTTGTGTTGTTATTAAAATGTATTCAACTCTTAATTGGAGGCTGTGGACTTTTTTGTTTTTGGCTGATGCTCTCAGATTGGCCAACTGATTTTTGAGTTTTTGCCTTTGGAAGTTGCTTTTTTGTCCTTGCTATTCTCATGACATTAGGACTGTCAAAAGAATTTGCTTCTTTGCTTTCTCTTCCACAATTTTAACACCAAATTTTGAGTTCCTTGAATATATTTTGCCGATTGGCTTTTTGAAATGTGACCTCTGGAGTCTCAGTGTACCTTTTGCACTCACATTTTCCCTTATCTTACATTTAAATTAAGGGGTAGTTTGCATAAAGTTTAGGTATATTAAGTGTAAGCTATTTGTGAGTTTTTACAATAACTTTACAATTTTATGTTTTCACAATAATCCATTTAACTACCACACCAATCAAGAAATACAAGATTTTTGTCACTCACAAATTATTTTATGCCATTTTCTAGTTGACTCCCTACCTCAGAAAAACATGGTATTGGTTTCTCTGATCTAGCTTTATTGAGATGTGTTGGCAAATAACATTCTGGAAGGTTAAGGTATACAATGTGATGGTTGATACATGTATATATTACAAAATGATTACCACAATAAGGTTATATAAAACTACAATTATATCACATAATTATCTCTCTTTTTTGTTAAGATGATTTAAGATCTACTCTCTCAGCAACTTTGAATTAGATAATACAGTAGTATGGTTAACATAATTGCCATACTGTGTATTAGATCCCCAAAACCTATTCATCTTATAAATGGAAACTTACACCCTTTGAAAAATATCTCTCCATTTCTCTCAACCCCAATACCTGGCAACACCATTCTACTCTGCATGTCTATGATTTTAATGTTTTTAGATTTCACATACAGGTGAAAGCACACAGTATTTGCCTTTCTGATTGTCATATTTCACTTATCATGATGCCTTCAAGATCCATTCGTGTTGTTGCAAAAAAGCAGTATAAGCTATTTTTATAGATAAATAAAAAATAATTTTTATAATACATTTTACTGAGAACTAATGTGTATATGCATGCATGCATACTCAGCGCTTCAGTCATATCTGACTCCTTGNCAGTATTTGCCTTTCTGATTCTCATATTTCACTTATCATGATGCCTTCAAGATCCATTCGTGTTGTTGCAAAAAAGCAGTATAAGCTTTTTTTATAGATAAATAAAAAATAATTTTTATAATACATTTTACTGAGAACTAATGTGTATATGCATGCATGCATACTCAGCGCTTCAGTCATATCTGACTCCTTGTGACACTATGGACTGTAGCCTGTCAGTCTTCTAAGTCCATGGGATTCTCCCAGCAAGAATTCTGGAGTGGGTTGCCATATCCTTCTCCAAGGGATCTTCCCAACCCAGGGATTGAACTTGTGTCTCCTGCACTTCAGGCAAATGCTTTACCAACTGAACCACCAGGGAAACCCATATATTTAGACATATACAAATACTTATGTATTTTTCTTTTTTCGTCAGAGTTTTTTAAATATTTGGTGTTTCTTTTATCTTGTCTAAGAAGAGTTTTCTTAAACCAAGGCTAAAGAAATATTCCCTTACATTTATTTCTAAAAGTTTTATAGTTTTAGCTTTTATTCATGCTGTGAGTTTATGTTTCATGTCTTCATCAAATATATTGAGACATAATGAAATATAATTATTTATATTTAATAAATATAAGTATACTTATTTATATTTGATATAATGTATTTGATGTGTTTTGACATGCAAAACCACCCATGTAACCACCATCATCAAGGTACAACACATATCCATCACCCCTAAACTTTCCTTATGCTCCTTCCTTATGAGTACCCTATATCGCCACTAGTCCCAGGAAACCAACTTTTTGTCACTAAAACTATGACAGTACTACAAATTCATGTGAATAGAATCACATAGTATGTGATTTTTTACTTTTTGGTTTCTTTCACTGGATGTATTTTTGAAATGTATCCATATTGGAGTGATGAAATAGTTCACATTCCTTTTGTTTCATTGTATAAATACACCACACTTCATGTATCCATGTACATGATGATGGACATTTAGCTTTTTCTCAGTTTATAGCTCTTAGCAATCAGTTCAGTCAGTTCAGTTCAGTCGCTCAGTGGTGTCCGACTCTACGACCCCATGAATCACAGCACGCCAGGCCTCCCTGTCCATCACCAACTCTCAGAGTTAACCCAAACCCATGTCCATTGAGTCAGTGATGCCATCCAGCCATCTCATCCTCTGTCATCCCCTTCTCCTCCTGCCTCCAATCCCTCCCAGTATCAGGGTATTTTCCAATGAGTCAATCCTTCGTTTGAGGAGGCCAAAGTATTGGAGTTTCAGCTTCAGCATCAGTCCTTCCAATGAACACCCAGGACTGATCTCCATTAGGATGAACTGGTTGGATCTCCTTGCAGTCCAAGGGACTCTCAAGAGTCTTCTCCAACACCACAATTCAAAAGCATCAATTCTTCAGCGCTCAGCTTTCTTTACAGTCCAACTCTCACATCTACACATGACCACTGGAAAAGCCATAGCCTTGACTAGATGGACCTTTGTTGGCAAAGTAATGTCTCTGCTTTTTAATATGTTATCTAGGTTTGTCATAACTTTCCTTGGAGAAATATTTGTGTACATGACTTTACATAACTGTGTGGAGATATTTTTCATTCTATTATGTAAATATCTAGGTGTGGAATTGATGATCTATATATGTAAATATATGTTAACTTTATAAGAGATTGACAGAGAATTTTGCCATTTTACACTCTATGCACACTCTCTCAACAACAACATATGAGGGTTACCAATTGCTTGACATGCTCAATATAACTCGTCAGTCTTAATTTCATCCCTCAAGTGGATAGGCAGTGGTATCAAATTGTGGTTGGAATTTCCTTGATGACTAAAGATGCTGATTATTGTTTTATATGTCTATTGGCCATCTCTGTAATTTCTTTAGTTAAGTGCCTCTCAAATCTTTTATCCATTTCCTAATTTGAATGTCTTTCCAATTTCTAGAGTGGATTATTTTTTCTTTATTGAATTTTATGAGTTCTTTATATTTTCTAGGCATAAGTTTTGTCACATATATATTATGCAAATATTTTACCATGTTCTAATTTCCTTTTGCTTTTTTATTAGTGTCTTTTGAAGATCAATTTTTTTTTTTGGTATTGCTAAAGAAGTACAATATACTGATTTTGACTTTTATAGTTTGTGTATTTTGTCTTATAGTCAAGAAATATTTGCAAAACATAAGCTGATTGATATTTTTTCCAATGCTATCTTTAAAAACTTTTTTAATATCAGCTTTTGCAGCCAGGATATCATTCATTTTCAGTTGATTTTATTTTATATGATGTGAGAAGAGTGTACATTTTTATTTTTCACCTATCCAAAAGCAACACTGTTGAAAAGGTTATCCTCTTAGGACTTTGTAAAGCATATGTTTTTCTGTCTCTGTTAGGAAAGCATTCATTGAGAGGCAGAGTGACAGAATAGGAATGAGTTTATTAGTATAGGGCACTTGTGAGAGATACAAGTGGGCAGGAAAGGAAGTTCAGTGGGCTACATTTTTATAATCAGTGGGAAAGGTGGGGAGGAAAAGAAGACCATCTTCTTCCTCATTCTTGAGTAGATGTCACACTTTCATCATTACCTCCTCCTCCCAATCAGTCAGGGGAGTTTTCTAGTCCCTACTTTCATCACTGAATTACCTTGGCAGCATTATAGAAAATTAATTGACTTTATCAATATAGATCTATTTCTGGACACCATATTTTTATCTATTTGTCTATATTCACACTAATACCAAACTGTCTATTTAAATGTAGCTTTATAAATAAGTCTTGGTATAATTTCCTCTGGGTTCTGTTTTCTTGTTTCCCTTTTTGTCATATATGAGAAGGTGATATACCACAGAACTTGCTGCAAAGCCATCTTCTGGGGTACTGGAGACTGTCCATGGAAAGTTGTCTCAATATGGAACTCACTAGGAAAATGTCTGTGGGAACCTTACTGCTGAAACAGAGATAGATTCTTCTGGGTGTCTCACAGGCCGCTAACCTCCAGACAGCAGCAAACACATCAGAAACAGGTACAGAACTGTCTTCTAACTCTGGAGTCCAATTATCACCTTCTACAGGCAAAGCTTAGTATAGTGTCAGCTGGCAAGGGAGAAATATTCCATGATCATAGTTAGGGCAATTAAAAGAAAGTTTAGAACTGAAATGCAATTACATTTTTAACTTTCACAGTCTACATAGAGTTAATATTGTATGACTATACCTGAAATGTAAAAGCTTTGGAATTGCATAGATCCATTTACCATTAACCTATCCTTTATTTTAAAGTGTATTTCATCTCTACATTAAAAACCCATAAGGAAATGTAATAATTTTTGGCTTTATTCATACATATTCACTACATACATTTATTCATAAATAAAGAAAAAAGTCTTTTATGTTTTCTCAAGTATTTATGATTTTAATGCTTATCAATTTCTTCTTGATGATAGGTTTTAGTATCTACATGTATTCATAGCATCGTGGATTTAAAGATGAAGTTTTGGAGCAAGAATAGATTATTACTCTTTAAAGCAATAGCTGAATAGGTTTTTATTGACCTAGTCCTTCTGACAAAGGTCTGTATAGTCAAAGCTGTGGTTTTTCCAGTAGTCATGTGTGAATGTGAACGTTGGACCATAAAGAAAGCTGAGCACTGAAGAATTAATGCTTTTGAACTGTGATGTCGGAGAGGACTCTTTAGAGTCCCTTGGACTGCAAGGATATCATGCCAGTCAATCCTAAAGGAAATCAGTTCTGAATATTAATCAGAAGGACTGATGCTGAAGCTGGAGCCCCAACACTTTGGCCACCTGATGTGAAGAACTGACTTATTGGAAAAGACCCTGATGCTTGGAAAGATTGAAGGCAGGAGGAAAAGGGGACGACAGAGGATGAGATGGTTGGATGGCATCACTGACTTGATGGACATAGTTTGAGCAAGCTCTGGGAGTTGGTGATGAACAGGGAAGCCTGAAGTGTTGCAATCCATGGGGTCGTAAAGAGTCAGACGCGACTGAGTGACTGAACAAAAGTCCTTCTGAGGTTACTGATGAGAGCCAGATGTCACTCTACATAGATGAGGGCCTGCACTACATAACAGAAATACTGAAATTGGAAATCTAGAGCTTATGTAGAAAATTAATAGTTATTAACCTCCCTCAATGAAATGTAAATTCAAAATTGTGGGAAGATGGCTATCTCATAATTATTTCACTATATTTTAGATTTCAAAACATATCCTTTAAGTTAGATCTCAGGTTGCTTTACTCAGAAAACTTAACTAAGATGGAAAATAAAAATGTTCACTTTATGACACCTACCTGCATTTCTGTCTAGTATAATTTCCTTTTCTTGAAAAACTTTTTAAGCATTTCAGGTAGTATAGATCTATTGATGACAAATTCTCTTTCTCTCTCTCTCTCTCTTTTTTTCCTGTATAAAGTTGTCTTTATTTTGTTTTTAATCTTCAAAAATATTTGCAGTAGAAATACAATCCTGAATTGGTATTTTTATTAATTATTATCTTTTCATCATGTTTAGGTTTGTGTTTCACAGTTCTCTGGGCTCCAAGTTTCTGGTGAGAAGCCAGCATTAATTTCACTGCTGTTTCACTCCTTGTATGATACTTTTTTTTTTTCTTTTGTTCTTTCAAGAATTTTTTTTATCTTTTATTTTAAGTAGTTTGGCTATGGTATACCTAGGCATGACTTTCTTCCCATTTACCATGCTATATATTTGTTGAGATCCCCCAAATCTATAAACTGAAATCTTTAAAGAAATTTGTGAAATTTTTGCCAGTTATTTTTCCCAAATTTTTTCTACCTTATTTTCTAGCTTATTCCTTTCTAGAACTCTAATTACACTTGTGTTGCATCATTTAACATAGTTTTCCAGGTGCTTGAGGATCTGTTTACATTTTTCATTGTTTTCTAATCCTCTTCACATTGTATTCTTTCTTTTGATATACCTTCACAGTCACTGTTTTTTACTCTGTTATCTCAATTCTGTGACTCCCATCCGATGAAGCTTTTTTTTTTTTTTTTTAGATAATGTATTTTAGTTTTACCATTTTTTTTTTTGTTTTCCTGTGGTTGCTATTTCTCTTCTAAGGTTTCTAGTATGCTTATAAGAAAACGCATTTTCTTTTATGTCACTGAACATAGTTATCACAGCTTTTGTAAAATCTCAGTTTAGTAATTTCAACTTTGAATTATATATATCATTAGCTTTACACTGACTGCCTTATGTCTTGCAAATCATCACGTAATCCTGGCTTTTTTACATAAAATAATTTTGGATTTCAACTACAATCTAGTGAAAATTATGTTGTAGAGATTCTGTTGTATTAAACTGAAAATTGTTGATACTTTTAGTTTTAGCAGATAAAAAACTTGGATCAAAACTGAAAATTTTTTAACTTGGGTGGTAGTTCAAACCTCTGTTTAGTTATTTTGTACTTCTGGACTGCTTTGAGTCTTTGTCACATATATGCTTCAGAAGTCAACCAGAAATTTGAGCAAAATATATTCAGAGATTTTGAATATGAAATGCAAAAAAGCAAAATGGTAGTCTGAGGATGTCTTACAAATAGCTGAGAAAAGAAGAGAAGTGAAAGGCAAAGGAGAAAAAAGAAAGATATATCCATCTGAATGCAGAATTCCAAAGAATAGCAAAGAGTGATAAGAAAGATTTCTTAAGTGAACAATGCAAAGAAATAGAGGAAAACAATAGAATGGGGAAGACTGGAGATATCTGCAAGAAAATTATAGAAACCAAAGGAATATTTCTTGCAAAGATGGGCAAAATAAGGGAAAAAAACAATATGGACCTAACAGAAGCAAAAGATATTAAGAAGAGGAGGCAAGAATACACCAAACTATACAAAAAACATCTTAATGATCCAGATAACCATGATGGTGTGATTCATCACCAACAGCCAAACATTCTAGAGTGCAAAGTCAAGTGGGCTTTAGGAACCATCACTACAAACAAAGCTAGTAAAGGTGATGGAATCCCAGCTGAGTTATTTCCTAAAAGATGATGCTGTGAAAGTGCTGCACTCAATATGCCAACTAATATGGAAAACTCAGCACTGGCCACAGGACTGGAAAAGGTCAGTTTTCAATCCAATCCCAAAAAAGAGCAATGCCAAAGAATGTTCAAACTACCTCACACTTGCACTCATTTCACATGCTAGCAATGTAATGCATAAAATCCTCCAAGCTAGGCTTCAACAGTACATGAACTGAGAACTTCCAGATGTACAAGCTGGATTTAGAAAAGGGAGAAGAACCAGAAATCAAACTACCAACCTCCACTGGAATGTAGAAATAGCAAGAAAATTCCAGGGAAACATTTACTCTGCTTCATTGACTATGCTAAAACCTTTGACTGTGTGGATCACAACAAACAGTGGAAAATTCTTAAAGAGATGAGAATACAAGACCATCTTACCTGCCTCCTGAGAAAGCTGCATGCAGGTCAAGAAGCAACAGTTAGAGCCAAACATGGAAATGCAGACTGGTTCAAAATTTGGAAAGGTTGTATATTGTCACCCTGTTTATTTAATATATAACGCACAGTACATCATGTGAAATGCTGGGCTGGATGAGCTCAAGCTGGAATTAAGATTGCCAGTAGAAATGTCAATAACCTCAAATGTGCAGATGACACCACCGTACGGCAGAAAGTGAAGAGGAATTAAAAAGCCTCTTGAAGGTGAAAGAGGAGAGTGAAAAACCTGGCCTAAAACTCAACATTCAAAAAACGAAGTTCATGAAAGCCAGTCCATTACTTTATTGCAAATACATGGAGAAACAATGGAAACAATGACAGAATTTATTTTCTTGGGTTCCAAAATCACTGCAGACAGTGACTGCAGCCATGAAATACAAAGATGTTTGCTTCTTGGAAGAAAAGCTATGACAAAGTTAGATAGCATATTAAAAAGTAGAGACATTACATTACCAACAAAGGTCTGTATAGCCAAAGCTATGACTCTTCCAATAGTCATGTAGGGATGTGAGAGTTGAACAATAAAGAAGGCTAAGCATGTAAGAATTAACACTTTCAAACTGTGGTGTTGGAGAAGACTCTTGAGAGTCCCTCGGACTGCAAGGAGGTCAAATCAGTCAATCTTAAGGGAAATCAACCACAAATATTCATGCAAACACTGATGTGGAAACTGAAGCTCCAGTATGTTGGTCACCTGGTGCAAAGAGCCATTAGAAAAGACCCTGATGCTTGGAAAGATTGAAAACAGAAGGATAAGGGGATGAAAGAGGATGAGATGGTTGGACGGCATCACTGACTCGGTGGATAGGAGTGAGCAAGCTCCAGGAGATGGTGATGGACAAGGAAGTGTGGTGCATTGCAGCCCATGGTGTCACAAAGAGTGGGGCACCACTAAATGATTGTGAACAACAACTCTGTCTCTCACTTTCGAGGCTCCTTTCCTCACATTCCAGCTGTTCTGGTTACCTCAGACTATCTTCCAGTCCTTCATGACAGAAAGTCTGTTAGTGCTCCTTTTGAATCTTAAATTGAAGTAAGTAGGGAAAACCACTAGATCATTCAGGTATGACCGAAATCAAATCCCTTATGATTACACAGTGGAAGTGATAAATAGGTTCAAGGGATTAGATCTGATAGACAGAATTCCTAAAGAACTATGGATGGAGATTTGTGACATTGTACAGGAGGCAGTGATCTAGATCATCCCCAAGAAAAAGAAATGCAAAAAGGAAAAATGGTTGTCTGAGGCGGCCTTACAAATAGCTGAGAAAAGAAGAGGCATGAAGGCAAAGGAGAAAAAGAAAGATAAATCATCTGAATGCAGAGTTCCAAAGAATAGCAAGGAGAGATATGAAAACCTTCCTCAGTGATCAGTGCAAAGAAATAGAGGGAAACAATAGAATGGGAAAGACTAGAGATCTCTTCAAGGAAATTAGAGATACTAAAGGAACATTATATGCAAAGATGGGCACAATAAAGGACAGAAAAGGTATGGACCTAATAGAAGCAGAAGATA